TGTGTGTGTGAACATGATGGGAGAGGTCATGGGAAAACATCAACAGGCTAATGTAAAGCAGATGGTGTGTGTGTGTGTGAGTATGTGTGTGTATGTGTGTGTGTGTGTGTATGTGTGCGTGTGTTTGTGTGTGTGTGTGTGTGTGTGTGTGTGTGTGTGTGTGTGTGTGTGTGTGTGTGTGTGTGTGTGTGTGTGTCGGTGGTGGTGGCTTGTTTAATGCACTGCAGGTTGGCTCCTGCAGCAGGTCTGGCCAGATAAGACCAGCACACTTTCTGCTGGGAGGGAGAGTGAGAGAGAGAGAGAGAGAGAGAGAGAGAGAGAGAGAGAGAGAGAGAGAGAGAGAAACATTGCCTCTTCACTCACATAAACCATTAAATTGTAATAATGGGGCCACCAGCGCTCAAAGCTGGATCTATAGCACCCCCTGTGGGTGATTAGCTGAGCGGCAGCCAAAGTGCCAGGGTCCTTGAGACTGGATGTTCCTGTGTTTGTGCTCCCCACTGCTGAATGAGACACTCATGACAATTGTTTGAAGTTAATTAGCCAAAAGATGCAACAACCGTTTTCCTTTTCAATGGAGCGTACAGAGATCAGGGTTAGCAGGGTAGAGAGGAAAGTGATAGAAATAAACAAGTGGAGACAAAGAGAGAGAGAGAGAGAGAGAGAGTTACACCACTGTGGACATACAGACATTGACAAAAAGAAAGAAAAAATGATAAACTTGGAGAAATCAACTGAAAAATGTAATAATTGCCCTCACAGCTGCGCTGCACGGTTCATTCAAGTATTTATCATCCAATCCTGCGTTGTGGCATTGTGACTGGAGGAATCTCTGTCTGTCCGAGGAAGGAAGCACATTGTTGACTGTAAAAGAGGAAAAGAGTGAGTGACCTCAAACAAGGGTTGATTGTTGGGGCACAAAGGCTCAACTGTTCAGTGTTTCAATAAGAGCAGTGACCAAAGTATTTTATATTTATTGGAAGGACGTCAGATAATTAGATCGGAATTTGTGGTCAACTGTGCTCATTTGACAACCGTGATGCTCGTGTATTAGTGTGATAGGTGACTCAGAATGCAGAATGTGATCAGACTGATCAACACCTCATTAAAGATACTTATGTTGGTTTTCTGGAATTGCACAATTAAGTTTACAGTAATGTCACAACTGCAACAACCAGAGCTGGAGCTATGAGTCGGAAGTAGCAGCTAGCTAACAGAAAAAGTTAGCTATGTCATGGCAGAGCCAGCAAAGAAATCGACGAGCAAATTATCAGAGGAATGGAAGAAGAGCAAAGAGAAAACACCACTGTAATATTGGTTAAGAGAGAGCTTAGAAGAGGAAAAGGGATGCAGGATGGATGTCCACCTGGTTAATCATCTGGAGTGTATCTCTGGATGAAAAACCTTTGGAGAGGACTCGGCGAGGGGGAAGTCACACAACCTGTCTGCAGAGGACAGTAAAAGAGTTATGGATGTTTTAAGTGTAAGTGTTAGTTTAAGATCATGTTATTATCCGTGAGTGAAGCATGCACATTTCTTATTATTGATGTGTAAAATTATGACTATGGCAATGGCAGGAAAAAGTCAGAATCACTCTGGAATGACTCCTCCTGGGTTTGGTTGCGGGAAACTCACAGATACAGAACGGTCGTCCACACACTGTGTTCAAAGCAGGGACTCAGCTCTCATCGGGTCATAAATGTCAGTATGTGTGACATGTGTGTTGTCTGAGCCTGAGGCTCCAAGGCCAATAAAACCTCAGTTTATCTTTCCCTGTGTCAACAGAGGACGGCTGATTGTCCGAGACAGAGAAAGAAAGAGACAACAATTCCCATTTCCATTAAATGAGTTGACGTGTCAGTGTGAAAAGTACAATCTGTTCTTACTACTTTTTATATTTTTAATTCCTCCTCTATGTACTACATCCACACACAAATAACAGATCTATTTTTACTCAGAACAAGGTGTCACACACAGATATACACACACACACATATGCACAAAACCCCCAACCTTCCTCTCCACAGTTTGTTATCAATGGGACCCCAGCTGCTGCCAGACTCATTCAGTGCACACAGAGCGAAGGCCAGTCTGGTCAAGTTACTGAAGTGGCACTACAGTGGGCAATTTTTCTCTCCTTACCCAGAGTGTGTGAATGTATGGCAGACAAGTCAGAGCTCTGATGTAGCCCACACCTCCTGTGAAAAGGAAGTCAAAGACACATTTTGCACTTTTCCCCCACACAGCAGCGTGACAAACTGACCCCAGTACAAGAAAATCAAATTAACAGTCTGCAGATTTGTTTTTTATTTGTGTGGAAGACTTATAATCTTCCATCCCCTATCAAGAGTTGCTGCAGTGTCAATGGAGTGGATGGTGACTGGCAGCGCCGACCTCTTCCACACTACACTTTCAGCTTTTTTTTATTTCCTGCCAAATCATCAGAGGGTAATGTAACGTAAGTTCTCTTGTTGCTTCTTCCCTTTGATTACGTGTCACAGCTGATGAGAAAGGAGGCACGTTTTGATACTTCCTTCTGTCTGTCGTTCTCACAGCCAACCGGCATGTTATGCTAATTGGACACATACACTGGAGGCTCCTTTGTGCTGCCTTTGTTTGGTGCTGTTTGATTATGAATTGGTGACATCCAGTCTGTTTTTGATGTATTGACAGAAAAGCCAAAGCAAATTTCCATCTATTTCTCTTTTTCTTTTCTTTTCTTAAACCTCTTTTTATCTACAAGTTCAAAAAGAATACTTTGCAATCTATCATATAACATGGTATTGGTTTGATTTGTAAATCTTGAGATTGGAAACCTCAGCCTGTGCACTCCCTGGACCTTTCAGACATATAAGCAGCTGCAAATAGTTTTTACTCATAGTATCCATATATAATATATGATCATTGTTATGAATGTAAAAAGTCTCCTGCAACACCAGCACATACAGTACATCTCAGTTTTTGCCCGGCACTCTCAGGCCGCTAGTCTTACATTTTTGATGCTAATTTAAAGATACTTAAAGGACCTACTGTATAAATCCAAACCATGACATTGTTTTTGTCACTCTTTCAGCTACAAGACTCATTTTACTTCATTAGAGGCGTATACCCCACCCTCTTTTAAGCAGTGAGGTACACTACAATTTTGGAAGATATAGATAGAAACCCACATCAAATAACATCTAACTTGTACCTAGCAGACACTTCTGAAAACTCAGTGTTAGATCTTCTTTCAATGTTAGTATCTCCTGTAGGTGAGAACAAGCAAATGCTTCATTAATTCTCTCAAGAACATTTGCCTTCACTTGATGTTACAGCTCTCATCTGTCATGGGCTTTTTTTTGGTCGCTTCTCATCACTTTAGAAATACACTTTCTGATTAATTTGTGCTGTAAATGCCACCCATTCTTTATTCTTGACTTTCTGCCGGCAGTCTGTGATGGTCCAGCTGCAGTAAACAGCTTTCTCCACATGACTGTCCTTCTGTTCTTTGACTTTGGTGAAGACAAACTTTATCTCAGTCACATTAGGGAATTCAAATCACATCAAACCTCTGATCTTCTCTGATGCATGAATACTATGAGCATTGCAAAAGTCACTTAGGTGAACTCAAAACTCAGCAGCAGTTGTATTTAACATTTCGCAGATACTACTACGATACATCATATAATACAGTTTGATCAAAACTCTGCCTCCACCTAGTGGATTGCAATAGTTATTACATAGGAGGGAGGTCATTTAGAAAAGAAATTGCTTGTTGAGACTTAAATAACATTTTTATAAAATTTAAAAGTGCTGCTACAATTCCTTTTGAAGATTTTTTCTTATACACCACATTATAAAGCCATAAGTATGTGGATGTCATTGTCATGAAAACAGCAGCATCTCTGTGCAAACCAAGGTCCGTAAAAAAGTTATTATACTCAAGGGTTCAGGTGTTCATAAACTTCCTTTGGGTGTCCACATACTTCTGGTTATGTAGCAAGTTACTCAAGGCTGTCATCTGCTGTTATTTTATTCTTGGAGGAAACAAAAAACTGTAAATTCCCTATAGAGTTTAACGCAAGTCATTTATCATATGTAATCTTGTGAGAAAAAATAAACACTTGCGTCGCCAATTTATTTACAATGAAAACACTTTATTCATTATGTCGTCAGTATCATTTCATTGAAAATGAACAGACCAGTAAAAAGGAAACAATACAAGTTGAAAGTCATATATTCTATATACCTTCAGTTTGAATCAGCACAGATATTGATTGAATGGCTTTTTGATAGAGTCCTTCCTGTAAAGTTGAGCATATTATCATTCATCATTACACAGTCTATTCAATAATTACAGTAAATATGACACGACACCCGAAAGAAAAAATAACACGTCTATAGTAGAAGTTGTGCCATGCTGGCTTGGCGGGCGGTTAAGATATAAACTATCAAAGCGTCACTTGCATGCACGGTTTATTGTCTACACAGCCTGGATTAAAAGAGCGTTACAGGACACTGAAAGCACTGAGAGGAAAACATAAACTCGTCTCTAAGACTGTGCAACTCTGCTCAATAACAAAGGTCTAAGTTAAAAGCTTTGCATTACACGTTGTTACAGAGGTTCTCCTTCAGTATGTGCTCCTAGGACATACAAAATAGTCAGCTATTAGAAAGCACATGGCACAGAGCATATAACAGCTAACAACTCTAAGTGATATAAGAGCATTAACATGATAATCATATTAATAATAATAATACAGCAATAGGTGCGATCTCCCTTCTCTACGTGTCTCTTTCCACTCTGTGTTACAGTATATTTTACATACAGAGCAATTACATGTCATGATGAATTAACTGTACATGGCACTTCAGTAACACTATTTAACAAGTAACTCGTGTCGAAGACTGAATAAATAGAGAAGACAAAATAAATAAAAGGTGTCATTTTTGCTTATTCCCAGTTTGAATCCAGACCCATCTGCAGTTCTGAAATTGTTACTCAGAAATTAATGTGTGCTGTTTGCAGATGCGCACACACACACCCCTTTACACACAAACACACAAAGAGGAATAAGGTGATAAAAGTTGTGGCTTTAGTTTTTTCAGCAAGTGCGTCTTTCTTTCTCTGAAGTGTGAGAATGTGTTGCTCACCAGAGAACTGTTTTGTGTGACGAGCAAAACACGATAAAAAAAATGTTACAAGATTATTTAAAGACAACGTTTTTAAATATCTCACAATGCTGATGAAGTAAACTCAGCATCAACTGTGAGCTACAGTATCTGCAGTTCGCAACACTCAGGGGTGCTCACCTGTAATTTATCCCCCTTTCCTCTCACTCACTTCCTACTAATTTTCTTTGCTCTCAGTAATCCATGAATTCACATAAACTCCCTGCGAGAATGAGGAAAATTGAATCTAAAATTAATCTTTGTGTTTGTCTTCTCTCGTTCACACCAGACATGAGAAATGAGATGAAGCTCTCAGCTGTAATCCATCCTCTCTACTCATCTCCAGCGAGACAAGAGCACTGTCTTATCAATAAGCAGGCAGGATAATTTGAGGATGGACATATTTTTACTGTACAAGGAAATGAAACGACAGGCGCCGCTAAGTGAAAAAAAACCTGTCTGATCAACACAAGCTAGATGTTTCAGTAAGATAATTTTAAAAGACAGTAGGTAGGGTGCCATGCTGTTAAAAACATGTTTTTAAAAATGCTGCTGATGGGCCACAGACTTTGAGACATAGTTGCCCTGGGGGGCGGGGGGGGGCTCTCCCATTGCTCCTTTCTAAACACATGTTTTGTTGAGGTCAACTTTCACCGGCAGCGGCCCCGCCTCCTGGCTCTCATCCGACTGTTTCATGGCGACGGCGATCACGGGAGTCAGGTGGTACGGGTTGACTTTGTGGGCATTGTCCAGAAACTCTTTATCTCCGTTGATGCTCAGCTGCAGAGACACGAAGACAGAACATTTGAGGACAGTGAGGAATCCTGCAGTGCTTTACTGCACCATGTCTCAACTTATGAGCTCACCGAGATTTAACTGTGTAAGAATTAAAGAGTCAGCTTTAAGCCTTTACATGGTTTCATAAGGTGACAGTCCTGGGAATGATTTTTTGAAGATGCTCTGATAAACCAGTGTCTTTGACGAGATTACAAAGGACTGATGGGAGGAGGCATCATGGAGGGGGTTCAGTGATTTGTCATGGATCTGTGTGAACTGCTGCTGCTGCTGCTGGTTTTTACTGCATAAAGAAAAGGTCTAGAATACTGCAACAGACAGTAACCGACTACAGTGATGTGCAGCAGAGCTCACAAATATGTGCATGTTTTTTTAAGTTGCAGCCTGGTAGCACAACATTTACACTGGGTAACCACAGTAAATGCAGGCTGCATAACTATGGTTCGACAATGCACGTTCCTCGAATTAGAGACTGCAGAAGAAATACACCTTTGACTGACTGTAAAAGAATTTAATCTACTGCGTGGAAATGACATAACACATTAATTAGAGATGCTGGTGAGAATCAGACACCTCGGCTAAAATAAGACAGGAAAATATTCTAAAGCACGAAAGCACACAGACTTTTTAACAGTAACATTAGTTCACAGTTCTCAGCATGTTTATACCTGATCCCAAAAATTTGCATTTAAAAGATTGAGCTCATTAAGTCTTGTGTGCATGTGTGCATGTGTGTGTTCATCTGTGTGTGTACCTGCGTCTTGATGTGCTGCTCTGGTGCGGTGACGAGGCTGGCACAGCTGAGCCATAACATGACCATGATGGACAGGAAGAGACAGGCCGCTAAAATCCACCGAGGAAGACCCGAACGTCTGGAGGAGCGAGGCGGGAGATACAGGAGCGGAAAAAAATTAAGGAAAGAGAATAAGGAGGGGAGGAAGGACAGAGAAACTAACCAAACTGAAGCTAAAGGAACAAGATTGACAGCAACAAATATAAAATAAATACAATGGTAAGAGTTATACAGTGGTGTAAAAAATTTGGATATTTCGTTATAAAAGAAAGTGTTAAAGTGTTCAGTCTGTAGAACTGAGTGTCAGCAGATCTGCTTTTTTCTGGGTGTTTGCTCCAGATATGAGGAGCAAAAAAGTGAACGCTCCATCTCCGCTCCATTTAGTTTTGACTCCGGGGACAGAAAGCAGACCCGTCCCAGACGGCCTGAGGGGCCCAGGTGGTTGTAAAGCAACAACAAGAAAAAACCACAAGCAGAGCAACTTCCACCTGCAGCTCACCTGGACATGCAGCCGAGGAAGTCGTGCTCAGCTGTGGGGTCGTCTGCGTGCTGGACGGGGTGCTTCCCTTTACCTCCTGCTTTGGATGCTCCCTTCTCTCCATGTCCCCTCACACCTGCAACACAACACGATGAGAAACAATAGATGTCAGTTGAAGCGACATACACACGCTGCTATACGTACTCTAATAACTGTTCTCACCGTGAGGTCTCTGGGTGTGAGAGTGGACTTGAGGCCAGGGCTTGTCGGCCACGTTGGATCGAGGAGCCTGCAGCTCGGGCAGAGAGTACTCCATCTCCGGCTGGCTCTGAGGAGGAAAACACACTCAGCCGTCATGGCAGCAAATACACCACCGTGAATCACCAGCAGAACTGACGGGAAGGAGTCAGAGGAGCTGCGACTAAAAATAGTTGGAGCTGAGAAGTGAAAGAAGAAACAAAAATGAAAGCGAGTAGCAGCAACAGGAGATGAGTCAAATACAAGAAATGTCTGGAGATTAAAACTTCAAAAGGAAGTTTGACATTTTGTGTTTGTTCGTTTCTCCCTGTTTTGTTGAGAATGTGGAAAAAAGCTGTTCGGTCTGTGAACTCACAATAGAGCCAGAGTCTGAGGCCATTAGCCTAGCTTAGCATAAAGAACGGAAGCAAGTGGAAACCAGCGAGCCAAAAAATCTAAGAATAAAAATGACAAGCTGTTTCTTTTGGATGTGAGTAGGTGAGTGGATTTTGATATCTTCTACCTTTAGACAAAGCCAGGTGAGCTATTTTTTATGCTAAGATAACCAGCTGCTGGATCTATTTCCCACACTGGACAACTCGAGGCCACACTTTGCTTTTTAGTTTTGGATCGTAATCACATTCAGACAAATATCTGATTTTTACTCAAGGACGTCTCAGCTTTATAAGACACAATCTGAGTTGTCCTGATGATGAACTGTGTGAAAACTAAGAACACAACACGGTGAGGAATACGAACTGTAGAATTATGAACTACATGGAAACAGGGATTTCTAAGTATATTTCTAATCATTTTTGTTTTTTAAATACATATCCAGGAAAACTAGCAAAACATAATTATGTTTTCATCTTCTTTGGAGTCTCTAATATGATGTAAAATAATGATGAAGCATGTCCGATATGTGTTTCTCACCCACACCAAACTGTTTAGTGGGACAGCACTTCTAAAACAATGATTTTTAAGCTACGCACACACTCTCTGAGCGAGCTGTCAGTGTTTGCACATGTTTCATTATGTGCGCAGTGTTTCCTGTTCCCCTGGAGAACTCATTAAAAGAGGATTTTGGTTCCCCACTGCTGACCCTCTCTCCACTACAGCAGCAGCTGTAGTTGGATGTAATGACACTATTGCTGGCCTCAGCAACCACACACAGTACAGTATATCCCACTCCAAGTCGTGTCAACCTCCCAGTAATTATTGATTTGGACATTTAACCAGATCAATGAACTTTTTGCCGCGTCATACATTATGTGACACCAGCAAAATTCAGTTTCATTGGTTCTCATTACTTAATCTATGAAATGATTGATTGGTTTTCTACTAAATGATTTTAATCACTTCTCAGAGGACCAGAACACTGAGACGTGCTTGACGCTGCCCGTGAGACAGTTTTCTTCCTGAAACACTTGAAATCCTCCAAACGTTTGTTGTTGAGGTTATTTCAGAGCCAGGCTTATTACACCTCGCGATCAATGCTTTCTGACAAAGAGCATCGAAACCACATGTGTTTTTTTACTAGTGTAAAGTCTGGGGAGAGGCGAGGAGAGATGTGAGATGGATAATTCTCATTGGCTGCAGGCTACAGAGATCTAACAATCAGAATGAGTGGAGCCTGATCTGCATCTGTGATGCATTATGAGAGGGAGGGCAAAAGGTCCTCTTGTTAACAGAGAGAGAGAGAAAGAGAAAAGAAAGAAAGAATGGAGAGAGAGAGAGAGTGAATGAAAGAGGGGTTTTGAAAGTTCAGACACATCACAGCCATAAAGAGACAGAGGGTTTCAGGCAGAGGGGAGGTGAGTGCAGTTAGACAGAAACATACTTCTGATTTTAGAACTGGACAAGGTATTTTGCTGTTTTTGAAAAGAGTACAGTGACTTTTTCACTTGGATGATGTGGGGTTAAATAGCTTCTGTGTGCCTTGATACTGAGAGAGGAAAATGGTTACAAGTGGTCTGAAGCCTCTCTGGCTGAGCATCAAACAAAGAATGATTGTTGAATTGATGGTATTAGTGAATGTATTTTGTCACAATCAGGCTAAAAATGTGTGATGTCACTGTGACCTTGAGATTTGATAGTCAAATTCTACTGAGTCTAGTATAATTTTTGCCAGATTTGACGAAATTGCATGTGTTACTGAGCTACTGTGTTCACGGGAATGGGACGGACAAGGTTTGTACGTATGTCCGGGCTGACGGACAGACAGCTGCTGAAAATCACTATGGATCCAGAGTTCAATTCTCAGAGTATAAACAAATGAAAAATGTGTTGAAATCTTTCAGTGTTTTAAATTTGTGCAGAGCTCTTCCCAGACAAAACAATAAAAGATCTCATGTAATGTTTCCATTCTGTCCAATGATTAAATATAAAGATGGACAGCACGACAGTGAAGCCAAAACATCTAGGTTCCTCCTTGGTGGCTGGCTGCAATGGAGGTCATAAACGCCCCAACCTCCATGTTAGTGGATGAGTCATGAAACAAACTACAAATCAAATGAAGTTTTCCAAAGATGGTTTCTGTCATTTTAGCAGTTATTAACTTCCTGGTGTTTCTTCAATTGTTCTTTTTCTCTTATGACTTTTGTTTTAAGGCTGCTGCCACACACAAGAGGTTAATCAGGCCCATTTAGGGCCCATTTTCCCCCTACGATCATCAATTGGTTTTTCCAATTGGAAGTCAGTCAGTGACGATTATCTGTCCAAATAATCCTGAAGTGTGATGGCATGCTAAATTCTTCATCCCTGTTTTATATTTAGTACATGTTTTTTCATACTAATTCAATAGAGCGATTCATATTAGATGAAACTGTATTCTCCCATTTAAATGTGTTACCTGTCATGAATATGCTTCTCATATAAGGACTGTATGTAAAGTTCATGCTTAAGTCACTTCAGTAGTTTGTGCGTGGGTGAGTAAACAAAGCTGGGAACAAACAGTGACTTCTGTTTCAGCGTAGCATCATAAGTCAAAGTCAAGCTTCCTTCAAACACTGATGTATCACCTGTTCCCTCTGCTCCTTTCAGGAGGGTTGTTTGAAATTCATTCAGGCAGAATGACTAATGTAATTGTCAAGACGAAATGGGGCGGGGCCTTCTCTCTCTTTGTACCCAGCCTTACAACAAGTCCAATTTGTTCTGCAGGCCAGCTAGCTAAAACAAGAAGTAGGAAATCTTTAATCGACTCACTTTTGTCCCAAACTGTTTGGTCAGTGAATGATTTGTCAAAGTCACAAGCAGGTGGTGAAAGGGAAATAACAGAGGTAGAGGGCTGTGCTTTAACAGTAGTTCTGTTTTTCTTGAATGGGGAGTAACCCCTCTCGTATGATTCGCTCTCACTGTGCATCCACAGGTACGATTTTGGTTTGTTTATGGGTTTTAACATCTTGACACCTCTCTCCAATTTTAACATTATAACAAAGAAAAAGGATCACATGTGAAAGCCATATAAATAATTTAAATCGTATGTTAGTTATCATAAAAACGTCTGAGCTGATTGTCAAGTGATGACATCAGCAACTCTAGCAAAATGATCCAAGTTGTAGTTCCAACTTGAGGTGTCCTTCAGGTACATTTTGTCAGTCAGGAACTTTCCAATTATTCCGACACTTGAATGTTACTGATCAGATACTGGCAGCTTCCTGATTGGTTTGGATGATACTTGAGGCTGCACACTGCGCTCATCGTTTGAGGTCATACAAAATACACTCATGACCACAGAGATGGACGTATATAGACAGTCAGCTTATTATGGATATCCACATAATTTGTATTGCAGGCGTCATTGGCCTGTTTATCCGTCTGTGCTGTCCCTCAACTAAGCTGGACTTTTTCTGCTGTTTCAACTCTTGCAGAGACAATCTGTCAAGTCGGTGGTGGTTTGCCAGCTGCCCACTAAACACAGGCCTGATAGTCTTTTCACAGCACCGTGGAGCCTGGCTTCCGCTCGCCGCTACAGCCGGCACATCACTGCCGTGAAGAGCAAACATCCATCACCGAGGTCTGACAGAAACATTGGCACTTTCATGTTCTGTGGCTCCTGCATCTGGTGGAACCTCACAGGCCACGTATTAGTGAATATCAGCATATATAAGAGTCCTCTGTTACACAGAAGCCCTCCTGTATGGGTGAGGGTGCTTAAAATACTATCATTTTCCATTTAGTCCTTTAATTATGCAGCTAAAGATGCCATCAAAGTCCCATTATCCGAATGGGAAAACCCCTGAAAGAGACAAATTCGGAGGACACGACTGGATACTGTGGTGGTTAGAGAATTCTTATTATAGCTTAAATATAAACGTGGCTACTGCATTGACTTTGGCACTAAGTTTTTAGGTTTGACAGGAAAGAACTCTCCAAGTTCATACGCAAGCCAAGGCCCTTATGAAACCGCATTTAAATTCTCTGCATCCAGATTTTTTATTTCAATAGCACACTCAGTCACACAGTCCTCTAAACATGCCCAATTTCTATCTATCAACCAATATCCATGAATTACCCTATGAAAAATCAATGCCCTATCTTGCAGATTTAATGGATTCTTCTCTGACCATTTCAGCATCCTTCCACCAAGTTTCGTGATAACCTGTCCAGTAGTTTTTGAAGAAATCCACTAACTAACAGACAAACCAATTAACGCAGATGAATTCATAACCTCCTTGGCATTGTCAATAAGATATCCTGCTAACCAACCAAACAGCACTTTCACTCGGGGTGGACAGCATCCGTGCACCAGTCCGTCGAGCCGCCCTCAGAAATAACTTTATTCTTTAGCACAGTCCACTCTCTGTTCAATCTTGCAGTGAGTTTCTGTCCTGAGGCAAGTTCAACACAGCTTGCCCTGCTGCTTATCAAATATGCATGGTGCTGAGGGCGGTGACATAATTTAAAAGGACATTTATAAACAATTAAAGTGCTGGGAAGAAGAAAAAAAACTTTGTTGTGCTCTAAAACCAACCACCTTTTCCCTCCCTCCCCCCTGCCGTGTGCCCCTTGCTCACTCGACCATCACAGATGCACGGCCGCAGAAATGGACTGTGAGATGTTTTGGCAGCGGACCAGGCTCTCCGGCATCGTATAGCACAGGATATATTTGACACTCCTAACAGGAAGCGTAGGTCAGCTCAACCAACAATCTATAAAGGTCCACTAACTTGCTTTTAATGTCCAATTGAAAACATATGACGTGAGAAAGCTTTGTAGAGATTATTTTTTATGATTATGTGCCATGAGGACTGTGGAGCATTTATACTGTAAGAGGACAGTGAATTCAGACGTTTCAGTGATCACGTCTCTGTGCTCTTACACACTCGGCAGAATCGGACTGTGTTGTCAGTGCAGATGTTCAGTAGGATGAGGGGAAACTCTGCAGTGCAGCAGCTTAAATAAACAGGTCTCTATGTGTATTTACCACACCATGTGTTTTACACATCACCTTTCATGTTTATCACTCCCTTTAACATTGCAAGCTAAGGCGCTTCTTTTTTTTTTCTGTGATTTTCCAGAGAATAATTAATGGATCTTGATAAAAAAAGAATAATATTTAGGAAACTGAATTTGCTCTACTCTGTGCCATTTTACTTATTCTCATGAATGCAATACAGTACAAGGATAGCAGAGAAGTACATATATACTATTTAATCGGATTTATTCTGTGTCTCTAGTTTATCCAATGAAAATGTTAAGGACGAACCTAAGATTCGACCAATGCAGTAAGAGAATGACTCGAGACTTCTCTAAATATCTATAAGTTGGTATTGTTGCTATGTTTCAGCCATAGGAAGCATTGTGACTAAATAAATAGCTTTGGACTACAAAATATTATTTTGAACAAACTGCTGCTACTACTACAGCTAGGGACACAGAAAAAAATAAATAACTAAGGAACATGTTTTTGGTTAAAACACAATATGAATATATCAATAGTGCAGCAAAACGTTTGGCAGAATATAACTTCATTTATCTTTGAATAAATACTTTTTGGAAAACAAAAAAGGCACTGCTCAAAATGTAAAGTGTGTACTTACCTGGAAAACTACAACCTTGCCATCGTCAGCCTGCAGGTAGAAGGTCCAGGTGGAGGAGATGAAGCTCTGAGCAGAGCTGACGATCTCGTTGCACCAACTGGACACGGCCTCCATCACAGAGGGGGGCTTCGGGCGGAGAGTCATGGCCTTCAGCTGCAGAGAGGAAAGAGAGAAAGTCACTTTGTTAAAAGAGAAAGAATTGTCTTTATGTATATCCTTCAGAGGGTGTGCACAGTTGTATCCTTAGTAGTGATATAAACACTCAAACAACTTAGATCTTTTAGCTGCAGTTAGTGTGTGTGCGTCACTGACTGCAGAGCGGCCTCCCTCACCTTCCTCCTCTTGATCTCAGGTTCAGAGGGTTGGCTGGCACAGCCGGTGCTGCAGGCCTCCTGCTCCAGGAGCTTAATGTATGCCTCCTGGCACGCTGCGGAGATGAAGAAGACGAGGCATGATGGTAGGAAAGTTGGAGAAGAGGAGGAGTGAGCACTACAGTCAGTTGGCCAGGAGACAAGAGGAAATGCAGGTACGAGCTGTTTATACCCGAGAGGAAAGATAAAGATGCACATGAGACGCATCTGTTGGCTCCTGCAGAGACGATTCACTCCACGTTGCCGTTATTGAAACATGGGGCGAGGGGGTTATCTTCTGTCTGGGCGGCAAATCACACCATTGATTTCCAATATGGCAGCTCAAACAGGGTGAACAGCCTCAAAGAGCTGAGAAAATATCCACTGGGGTTACAGGAAAAGAGCTGTTGTGTCCAACATTTTGATGTTGAAGACACGCACCACTAATGGAAATGTTATGTTACCCTACATCACAAATGTAGCTATTAGTTAAAAAGGTGATTAAATCGTTTTAGTATTGAAGACGTCATCAGAGTTACACTAACAGCAATAAGAGTTTCCAAGTTGCACTTAAGATTGAGGGTAAAATTCACGACTGACTTTTTTTAAGTCATTATGCAGCACAATGCTGAAACCAACTGCCTGATGGTCTTATGAATCCACTTTTAAAACCAGATTGAAAACCTTTGTGTGTTAAGTGCCTGTAACTAAACTAGGTCTTACATCATTGTATTTTATTCTATTTTCATATTATTATTTTACCAATTTCTATATAATAATTTTTTATAATTTTTTCTCATTTAGCACACACTATTTTTTATACAGATGGATCCTTTTTACTTCATTTTCCTCTTTTATCTTACTCTTTAAATCACTTATTTTGCTTGTTTTTTGTTGTCTAAGTTGTTTATAATGTCTCTGTACAGCATGAATCCACCTCTGTATATGAAATGTGTTGTATAAATAAAACTGCCTTTCCTTCTTCATTTTATGAGGATTCAGTCCTGTCATTCATTTTGACATCACATATACAGACTAAGGCCTCAGTAGCTTGGACTGTGGCCTCAGCTAAGACCACCAGCCTCATCCAAACACTTCAACACACAGAGTCGACTGACTCACCTCCCTGACACTCCTCCCTGCTGGTGTTGAAGCCGGCGTTGCCGTTGACGAACTGGCAGATGGAGTAGAGGCGACAGCCACGGTAACAGGCGTTCATTATGGAGTCCTGTTGCAGTCGGACAGAGGAAAAATTAGAAATGTCTCCTGCACTCTGGGATAAACAGATAACCTTGATGGGGTTGGATGACAAAGATGTGCTGTGGCGTCTCTTAATGACACAGTGCAGCTGCTTTATTGCAGCTTGTCACAAACAGTTGATAAGAGGCTTTCAGTCACTGTTGAGGAAACCCGGTGATGATCAGCCACTTGTTTAAAACAGGGAAATGAGGTGGTGAGAGAGGAGGGAAGATGCACATTACTGCTTTCTCTTGTCATTATGACTTCAAGGTGTAGAAACAGCGCCCCCTAGTGACCACTCAGAGAACAGGAGAGACAAAGAAACCCTGACCGTGGATGGTTTATTACAGCCTTGTCTGTCATCATCTTTACTGCGTTTCCCTGTTTGCCCACAGACAGCAGAGATGTGTGTTTAACCTCTAACCATGAGGCAGCACCTTATATTTAGAAAGTGACTGTATAATCTACATATTTCCAGTATAATGAGCCTGAACTGTTGTGCACAACAACCAGGTGCAGCTCTGCTCCTGCTGCCCCGCAGGATGTGTGAACCGCACCTGAAGGCAGCAATGGAGGATGAGGAGGCTGAAGAGGTGGAAGGAAGCAAAACATCCGCCACTGAAAATCAATGCAAAAACGCATTGGACATAGAAATTCAGAGCGATCTGCCGCCCTGCTCCGGCCGTGTGGCCTGTGTGTGAGCAGGAGGCTGCGGTGCAAACTGTCAATAACACGGATCACAATAGTCTCACTGATCCTCCTGCATCACGTCTGGCCTGCTACATCTTGTAATTGCGGCTACGTTACTGGCGCAGTTTGTTGCAGGCGCCTCTCGCTATGCGCTCGAATGCAAATCACTTCTTGGATGAGTCTTTGAGGTGCAGAAGAAATGATGCTGCACATCCATTTTCTCGGCCTGATCGGGAGCTGTAGCATCCCGGAGGCTGCAGCGGGGAAAAAAAACCCTGGAGCCAGCGTGTGGTACCTGCCATTGCGCACACATCTATATTAGAAGCATCATTTCTAGAAGAAGCTGATTTTAGATGCTGACCGTGCTGCATTATTCTCCTCAGCCGAGGACAACAACGCGCCCTGCAGAGACACACGGGAATAACTTACTTTAGCGGGGCTTTTGTTTTTGATGGTGAGCTGGCATTGCTTTTTGCAGTAGCTGATGTCGCCCAGCTGGTTGTCGAAAAGATCCGAGGACGCCGCCGCAGCCACCGCCGCGAGGAGCACCGAGAGCAGCGCCGAGAAGCCGCACATCCTGCCGCCGAGCCGGAGCATCTGAAACCCTGGAGAGACGAGGAGGAGAAGCCGGTCAGAGTGACTGCTGGTGCGGGGGATGGTGCTGCTGCTGCTGCTGCTGCTGCTGCCTTAGCCCCGGTCCTGTCTGCTCCACTGCTCGCATCTGCTCATGGCGTCACGCGCATCATCACCATCATGCACGCGCGCGCGCACACACACACAGACAAGCCTGCAGTGCATAATGTGGCAGTGATGGCATTCATAAAAAAGGCTGCAGATATATAGTGGAGAACATGGAGACTCCCTGCACAGAGCAAATAATCAGTTTGTTCAAGTATTGATAGATGATGAATAACCGATGTGACAGATATCAGGTGATGAAGATCCTGCTGCAGCACAAGTGGACACCATCAAGGTTTATCAGCTGAGGAGAAAACAACTGTCAAACTCTACTTAGAAAAGTGCAATAAATAAATAAATGTGAATATTACAGGTGTATTATCTATATAGTTTTTGTACCAATATGAAATAGAATGGGAGTCAATAGACTGTATACATCCATCAAGCCCCAACAGTAAATTCACGAGATCCAGATTTTTATGTGGATCTGCACCAAAATGCACAAACTTATAAACATCAGTCCTGGATATATGCCTGATTTTTTTAAAAAGTAATCAAGATCCATGAATTATTCTCTGATAAATCAACGCTACTACCTCACAATGTTAGAGGAAGTGGAATAAAATTCCTGCATCTGCAAAGTTTTTTCCCCCCTGACCCATACTGCAGTATTCCTTCCTGTGGTTTTTGCATAATCTTGTTAACTAACAGACAAACAAGCGCAGACGTAAACATAAGCACCAAAATACAACTTTGTGACGAATTGTTTTTCTAAGAGTTACTGGCGACAGATTATATCTCTGTATCCAGTGTTGGATGGGATCCACTTTGAAGCTGTGGATGACATCTACAATAACAGGAAGAAATCAAAATGTGGGGGTGCTATTGATGTTCATTTCTGGAACTCCATTCAGAATAGGAGCTGAAGAACATTTTAAGAAAATTTTAAAATGAATACATTTTACGTTTCAAAACACTTTTCTACATTATTTTCATTAGAAATGGACCTTGTGGGAGGAAAAAATCTCAACATTTTCTATATTCAAAGTAAAAAAAGCAACAAAACTCAATATTTTAAGCATAAAAATCAGTTACCAACAGATTGCACAGAACAGAGAGCTGAAAACATTGAGGTGTCACATCATCTTCTGATTATCATATTTAATAGCTGGGTTGAATGTGAGAGAACCTAGATGGACCTGTAGAAAGACAACACAGAAATACATTTTGAGCACAAAGGAAAGAAATGAGCTTCACTCATATTCTGATATCAAAGCCGTTTTAAAAATGAACAACATGATCTCTTGGTGCTTGCTTACCCAGGAGACTACTGCTTTACAATCTGGAAGGCGTAGAGGTGAAACTTGAAGAGCTCAATGGCAAGCTGTTCTGACTAGAACCCTGTGGATGAAAGGAAGACAGGAAGCATAGCACGATACAATACACATGTTCCCAAGGACACCATTTTTAACTGACAGGGATAGATCCACTAGATTACAGTGAATGATCTTGAATTCAAAAGAATGTTTAAAAATGTAAAACTAGGGCTTTCATTTTTTACTTGCAATTTGCACATTCATTTGAAAGTGGGGACACATTTGTATTAGACCTATAATATCCAGTTTGAATTCAAAATTCAGTCTGGATGAGCATCAGACCATCAGTCTGAGGCTGTTTGTCTCCTCATCCAGCAGGGGGCGATCACTGTCAGCTTGACCTCATAATCAGTAAACTGAGCCTGTAATTTAACATTGCTCTGCTATGAAAATGGAGGAAGGTAGCAAGTAAACAGACGATTAGGCCACCAGACACTGATTGCTGTGGTGGCAACACACTCCTTACATGGCTTTGGAAGCACATAACGTTATGCCTAAAGTTAGCTAGTAGCTACATCAAACTCTGAAAAAGTGGCAGTATTTCAAGAAAAAGACAGTGGCCCCAGCAGTGGGAAGACAAATGATGAAGTGTTCGGAAGTATTATGAGTATTTCACGATATTAAGCACTGAAACATCTACATTTGTACTTCATATTTGTATATTTAAGTTAAGTAAACTCATTTATTTGTTAAAATTCAACTTCCAATATGCATTAACAATAAAATTCTTAAGCTTGTTAAAGTTTCTGGCAGTGTTTAGGCACTGTAAACATTTGAAATAGCAGAAAGGAAAAAAACGATACTCAGCGAGTATGATGAGTGTATGATCGTGTCAACTTCATTTAAGCACACAATAGACACTGATGACCACACAGTGATAGATACTTTTCTTAACTTGGTAAAATCGTTCTTCTCATAGTTGTGCACATTCACTCCACTCTGTTCCCTATTATCTACGATTAACGAGAAAATATCGGAGAAATCACAGGTTTCCTTCTTTGTCAGCGTCACGAGTGGTCAGCGTGAATCTGTTTCTAATAGTCTAACATTATCTGTTGTGAATCTGACCTCTCGCCTCTGTGCCCGCTGCGGCCCATTCTTCAGTGAAGGCTGCTTCACCGGAGCCTGGGCCTCCATCCTGTTGGCGTCTCCGCTGTAGAACAAAGAAGAGTTCATATAAAATGAATTTAGAGGTTTTGTCATTCTAGTTACTGAGTTAAGATCTTTCTGAGTTTGCAGTCATTAGCTCCACCTGCAGTTTGTGGATGTGGTCTCCAGTAGGAGGCAAAGGTCACATTCACACAAGCTAGTTTGGTTCTTTAGCCGTCTGTGGAGACTTGTTCTTGTAAGTACTGCACAATGTAGAGATCAATTCAATAAATACATCACATCCCATCTGGTGTGATCTGAGAAGCAGAGATCTCAAAGTTAGAGTAAAGTAAGATCCTCCTGTGGACAGATGAGCACACTTTGAAGCCAGATGTGCTCCAGCCAGGTGAGAAGGTTTTGAATTACGTGATTCTTGTTCTGACCTTTTGAGGCGGTTGCTAAACAACTCTGGGCGCATTACTGCCACCTACTGGACTGGATTATTGCTGAGAGGAGAGTTAGGGTTAGGGCAGGCGAACAAAAGAAGAAAAAAACGTATATACTCTTTATTTGACCTGTTTCCTTTATGAATATTATTAGTTGACTGTTTGTTCACCCCAGTTCTTCTCTTAGGATAATCTCCAGAGTGAAGTTAAGCTTTATTAATTTAAAGTTAGGGATGGTGAGTTGTTTCCAAAACACATTTGATCTGATTTGTTTAAATCCTCTTCACATCTTGATAGCATCAACAAATAAAGTCAGCCATCTAAAAAAAAAGAGAAAAAGTCAGTGTCTGTGGCCCTCGCAGGATTGTGATAAACATTTCATATGGACCCACTTCATGTTGATTCTGTCTTGTCTCCCACCGTTGTCTCGTCTTGTCTCACCGACATATATACATGAAATTCAGTTATGGCTTTTCATTTTGATGTGCCACCCCAACATCCTCAGTGCCTAGAGTGTGTGAAGTTGGATCATTACAATTTAATGGTGAAGACATGTTTTAATGTTAGGTTAAGGTTTATTTCAGGTTAAGTTTAGGGTAAGGTTTGGGCAACTGGGACATATGGTTAAAGTTAGGGTAAGTCAATCAGTGTGTGTGTGTGTTTGGGAGGGGACACACTGAGGAGCACTAACAAACAAGGGAGGAGTGGTACAGCAGCAGTGGAGCTGTCTGGAGTTTAAAAGGAAGAAAACCTTGTGTTTCCCTCTGTCTGTCTGTCTGTCTGTCTGTCTGTCTGTCTGTCTGTCTGTCTGTGTGTCTGTCTGTCTGTCTGTCTGTCTGTCTGTGTGTGTGTGTGTCTGTCTGTCTGTCTGTCTGTGAGTCTGTGTGTGAGTGTGTGTGCAGTCACTTTGGTCTGTGACTGAGTTTCTCTGAGGAGTCACATGTGATCTGAGAACAGCAGCAGGAGCGAGACGCCACACAGACCCTCCTCCTGAACTCTACCTCTCTGTCTCCTTCCTGTGGAAAGTCGAGAAGGAAAAACAGCAGAGAGAAACATGCTCTCCTTCATCTTTCTGCTCCTGCTCGTTCCACATGTGTGGTTCTCCTCGACACGTAAGTACCAAACTTTCACAGACAGACGGTAAGTCACTTTGCTGTCTCCTCAGACTGCAGGACAATGGAGGAGGAGGTGAAATCTGCAATCTGAAGATTAGATCTGTGTTTCCCAGTGTGAGCAGTGTGCTGGAGGCTCTGAACCTTCCAAACCAGTTTGTGTTTTTATTCATTTATTTAGCTTCATTAAAACCAGCTCAAAGGTTGATTCATTCACACCCATAACTATTAGAAAATATATCAGCTGTACACTGAATTTTAAATAACAACAAAAGTCTGCTTTTCTCCATGTTCAGTCCTATGGATAATCCCCTGTTGCAGTATTTATAATTGTCTGTTGTAACACTACTGAGCTATATACTGTATCATCAATCAATTGTGAAACAGTTTGATAAAATCAACAGATAGGAAGATGTCTTTATGTCCAAGCCAGAATAGTAAATACTTTACAAATCAAGAAATGTCTCCATGGTGATTTAAAAAACTTAAATATACCTGTACAATAAAAGAGTACATCTAGAAATGTTTTTAAATGGTTCAAAGCTGTTTGGCAAATTCAATGACAGATGACATTTTCTTATCATATCACATAATTCTTTTTTGAGGAAAACTTTGTTGTTATAGTAAACTTTTAATTTGATTGCAAAGTCTGTAACCAACTAATACTTTAGTGTCAATACAAATGATGAAGAATCATCAAATCATCCACTAATTGTTGCATTTTCCACTAAAATAAATGTGGATGCACTGGCAGCACTTTAAAATGAGAGTAATCATTAGATGTGACCGTGTGTCTAATGGAGAATTAGAGTGAGAGCAGCAGACGTGCTGTTGAAATGAACTGAGATAAACACTGCTCACCAGCTCTGTAGCATGAAGGCCATCCATTTACCACAACATCAGCATGCAGAGATTTACGATCACGACCAAGTCGTCCACACGCATCTTCTTCAAAAAACATGTTCAAAACATCATTCCTGTGTTTATTTCACAGTAGCGATCATGTTAACAAGGTCCGTCCTCGCTCCTCTTACATGTAGTTTTCATCACTTATCTTCACACTCAGTGCTACTAAAACCAGTGAAGTGGCACATGTGTTAAAAAACTTGTCTGCCGCCCACCAGCAGCGTGGGTAATAACACTCTACACACTTACCCTCATATCTCTGTGTAGAAGGAGCCTCGTGGTAACAGTCAAACACACACACACACACTGAGGGTTTCTCATGCACATCAATCATAAAGGTAAACTCTGAGTCTAAGAGGGGTCATGGTATGGAAAAGCATTCAAGGGTTTTACTGACTAACCAGGGTGACCTTTCTGAGGCTCCATAAATCCATCTCATCACAGGGTCATAAACATGCTGCTGCTGCTGCTGCTGCTGCTGCTGCTGCTGCTGCTGCTGCTGCTGCTGCTGCTGCTGCTGCTGCTGCTGCACTCACAACGTTTACTTATTTGAGGCGAGAAATTTGTAATTGAACTTCAAGCTTCACTGGAAATGTGCTCAAGTCTTAAATCAAACTGTACAAACATGATGTTATTGAACAGATTAATGAATGGAAGTTAATGGATGAAGAGGAGCTAAGATGTAAATTTAATGTCTGGAAGAAAATAGACATGGATTGAAC